TAAGTAACAAAAATCATTAAATTTATAAAAATTCCTTTTTCATTTTCTTCTTTCAATTATCTCTTATATATGTATATGTTACTAATCAAAGAGAATAGTCGATAATTTTTTTTTGTGTTCTTCTTTCGTTCAATCATCACTCGTACAATATGATATTGAGTGCACGACGTCTCATCTGTTCTTACACATTCCAGATGAAAAGAAAAATAAATTGAACATAACATGTGTAAAGACAATAGAGATATCGTGCACTCAATATCATAGCATGCGTCAGAACAACCGGTTGTCATTATACGCTGCGTATTAAAATTCCGTCAACGTCGTCTTTCTTCGCGTTTCTCTATTTCTTCTCGTTCTTCGTAACAGAAGAACAAAAAAAAAAAAAAACAAACGGAGCTTTTGAGGGTGGCTCTAAAACAAAATGAACCTTCCCAGGGATATTCGATGTTCTGTTGGTAACCTGTACAGGCGTGTAGATGGTAGGTCTTCATAACATACATTCATGTATGTGTGACTAGAAGCATCCATCTCGTCATCGTCTTTCCGGAGATAATGATCATGGATGTACTAGTCATACGTACATAAATGTATGATTGCCGGCTTTGCCCACTGTACAACCCAATAGCATACGGAGGGTATCCCTGGTTGCGCGTGCGCGAAATTTTTGCAGCTGGTGCGCTTCGGCGAGCCAAACGTGTTCAAGAAGGTCAATTTATTTTCTTGTTTAAAAAAAAAAGAATTACATTTTCTCTTTCACAATGTCAATGTTTCTTTTCACAAGTGCAATATGTGGATGATTTGAAGGTAGTGATTTTTTCCATATGTCTTGCGCCTTTGCGTAATATGAAAGTGCTTTCGAGTACTCGCCCATGTTATTATACACATTACCGATGTTGTTGTAGGAAGTAGCCAAGTTGGGATGATTCGGAGGGAGAGCTATTTTTCGGATTTCAAGTGATCGTTCGTGCGATGAAAGGGCTTTCGAGTACTCGCCCATGTCTTTATACACCATACCGATGTTGTTGTAGGAAGAAGCCAAGTCGGGATGGTTTGGAGGGAGAGCTATTTTTTGGATTTCAAGTGATCGTTCGTGCGATGAAAGTGCTTTCGGGTACTCGCCCATGTTTTTATACACCACACCGATGTTGAGGTAGGAAGAAGCCAAGTTGGGATGATTCGGAGGGAGAGCTATTTTTTTGATTTCAAGTGATCGTTCATACGATGATAGTGCTTTCGAGTACTCGCCCATGTCATCATACACCGAACCGATGTTGTTGTAGGAAGCAGCTAAGTCGGGATGATTCGAAGGGAGAGCTATTTTCCGGATTTCAAGTGCTCGTTCAAACGATGAAAGTGCTTTCGAGTACTCGCCCATGTGTCTATACACTATACCGATGTTGGTGTAGGAAGCAGCTAAGTCGGGATGATTCGGAGGGAGGGCTATTTTTCGGATTTCAAGTGCTCGTTCGTGCGATGAAAGTGCTTTCGAGTACTCGCCCATGTTTCTATACACCATACCGATGTTGTTGTAGGACGTAGCCAAGTCGGGATGATTCGGAGGGAGAATTTTCTTGTAGGTGTTCAGTGATTTTTCGTAATATGAAAGTGCTTGTGAATAGTCACCCATACTATCATATATCCAGCCAAGTTGATGATTGTATGCCGCCTTATCTCGATCGGAAGTTGCCTTTGCGAGGAGAATCTGGTAGAGTTGTTCTGATTTTGGGTATTCACCCAGTTTGAAAAGTATCAAACCCAGTCGTTCCCATCCTGTGCACTTATTGAACTCTTCTCGTAGATGTGCTGTGAGTTTGTTAAAGTCATCATCTTGATTACCCACAAGAGTAAGATTAACTTGCCATAAGCGATCAGTATTTTTGTCTTCAATTCGTTTAATGTGATCGATTCGGAAAATTGTATGTGTCGCAAAAAGTATTTCTTCTTCTTGATTTTTGTAGTAGCCAACTTGGCTTACTTCAGCAAATGGTGTTAATGAATTTTTGCAAATAGACGTGTCAATGTTCATAATGAATAGAATGCCAACCGAATTGGGTTTCTTTGTTGCTGGTCGTGCAAAGGTTTCCAGTGAAATATTGCGATTGCAGCTTGTTGATAGAAAATTATTGAAGGACATAAGTCCTCCTGTAGTTTTTTTCATTTTTTCAAAATCTTCCAAGGACAAACCTTGTCCCCGAAAGACTTGAAAATGTTTTGGCATGTTGTTTTCTTGTTCACGATGTAATTCCGTAATATGATTGTGTAAATGCCGGATGAAAAACCCCAATTTCATTATGATA